CATTTACCCATTCTTTCTATTATGTTCTCTCATTTCATGCATCGTCATCTCAATTTGTGACAATTCAGAAAGATTTAATGCAGCGTACTCAACTACATCATCATAATTTTTAGATATCACTTCACGAGCAAGGCTTCTGAATACGATTTAGCTTCTAAAATGTGAATATCGTTTAACATAAATGATTCCTCAATTCCGGTAGTATATTTTCTAGAGGTAGCATACGAGGTATACCCTTATCTTTCACTTTCCGATGGCTTTTGCCCGAGTAGGAACAAGTTAGGAAAATTGCTTGCTAGGAAACTAAATGACATGAAAGGCGAACCTTAACTTCAATCTTTCGTGAATTCAAGGCTCCTATTAAAATGGAAGCTAAATCAACGTTACGAGTGCTGAAGATAAGCAATTGTCTTTTACCAATAATCAAAGACGAGTAATATAAAATTAATGTATTTGATTATTTGACATATAATTTCTCAAAATGCGATAATACAGCCTGAAACTACTTTATCTACTCTAAATGGAAAATGTTGATGAAGCTTATTTTTCCTCTAAAAAGCATATAACTAAAATAGGATAAGTCTTTTTTTTACTAATGTTATAGAACAAGAATGTATGGCTAAAGATAAGCCTTGTTTTTTTTGCTGTAAGAACTCAAACCTAAACTTGCAGAAAATATTGCAGATCTGATACAGACGAATGCCAGCACGCTAGTGTGTAAAGTATTGTATAGACATTCAGTGGCCCAGAACCTATACTCTGATTTAATTTAACTCATTAACTTGAGAGCAATTTACAGATATTAATTTCTTCGAGTACCACTTATTCACAAACCTTATCGCTTTTCATAATTAAGGAAAATTTGATCTATCAATATTTCTTTCATGAACAAAAAAAGAGGCAGCCTCTCATACATAATTGCAATAGCTTAAAGTATGAACAATTATAACAAATAACATAGTAATTTTTAAAGGAGCCTTCAGAGCCTCAATATTTTCCAGCAAGGCGATTCCTATCAAAAATATATGCATCCACAGTCATAATAATTATAATATGGATCATACGTTTAAATAAATAATCAAATAATTTGAGTATAGAATAATTATCATTTAGGATTAATTAAGATTTATTCAATATTATTGAGAAGTAGCCTGTAAGGCTATATATGGGAGTGGTGGAATTCATGTAAGTTACTGATTTAGAAATAAACGCGAGCCATCGAAGAAGTGGGAAATTAGGAACATTCAAAAAAAGAAGCTATGAAGACAAAGATGTTGCAGCCGCTGGTATTGTCGCAGTCTCCTTTCGAATTATAGAAGTTGGTTGACCTCGTTGTCGCAACTTAGTCTTGTTGTCAGGGGGACTAGTAGAACGCACCTAGTCTGAAGTTGTCTGCCATAGTAGTTGGCCTGATTCCCAACATAAGACAGTGCACTTAGTACATTCACAAGCGTTTCGTCGGCATCATAGTCGGCATCATCAGTGAGTTTTGCCATTCTTCGCACCAAGCTACGAAATCGTCAAAGCGACAAGTGAAGTCAATCCCTCGACAAACTTTCTGCCGAAAACGGTTACACTATCACTCCCCTTTCTGTCCTGGCCTATCTATCTACTCTTTACCATCTTATCCCACAGACGCCCTATCAACAACTTCTGACTTGTGTGTCCTTTTGTGGAAAATCTAGTGTGGCCTCATCACACTTGCTATTTACCTCGACCCCTCTATTTCGTTCGGCTGATCCGACTCGGGCCTCCAATCTGAATTCCCTCATTAACTACAATATATCAACAGCCAACAGGACCCAACAGTCAATCTCCAGGGGGCATTAACAAAATGCTGAAGAAAATAAATACTAATGAAAAGAACTATTTTTATTACTTTCAATGGCCGCACATATAAGCAAATAAATTGTCTGCCTATGGGCTCTCCAATCTCACCTCTGTTAGCTAATGTCAACACTAGCAAGTTCTAGGAGAATTTCAAAATGTCTCCTCAGCAGCCATTAGTAATTATATAATATTTGGATTACTACTTCGCAATCTAGGCGCATGAAAAATAAACATTTGACAATTTCCCGAACTTCTTAAACGACATGGATGAAAAAGTCAAATTAACAATTTGTGTGAAAGAGAACAGAAACTACTTCTTAGATGTGGAATTCATTCGTTAAGAGGACGCTCTTAAGAAACATCTATTCCGGAATAAATCATATGCAGGAATAATTATAAGCATCCAGCACATTTATACTCATGGAATGCAGGAAAAATGGGTTACTCATGAATTGATGATTGGAATACTCTGGAGTATGGTCATAAGAAGCCTATGACTTACTGATTCTGAGTTCTTGGAAGAGAAACTGTAAAATTATCTCGGATATTTCTTGGAAACTGATATCCAGGAAAGCAATACAACCCAACATCCGGATGGTAATGAACAGATGGAAGGACGGAGATAATGAAAGGAAAGCAAGAGAAAAAGAGGTAAAATGGTGGATTTGTCTACCCTCCTGTAAATTGGCTCTAAAGCTACAGTCGATAGTAAGGAAGTGGAACGTTCGTACAATCCTGAAGGAAAGGACAACACTCTTCATCAATTTGCCTACAAAACATTAAGCAGTCAATAAAATTGAGTTCTTCGGAGTTTACAGCATAAATCGCAAGGACTGTGAAGAAAAATACATCTGATAGACTGAAAGTACAATCAGCGTAAGGATCAAAGAACGACAGCGACTATGCAGAAAAATGGATACGAAAAGATAGGAGATAGCTGAATACGTTGCACTTACCGGCCAAGCAACTGACTGAAGTGCAACGAAGCGACTAGACTCATATGGGAAAAACACCAGGCAACGGAAGATCAGTAAGGCTGTGGGCAGAAAAGAAATTAAGAAGGAGTCGCTTGAACCTAGGACAACTATTCAACGGCAGGAAGAGACATCACCAAGAAGCGGCTCATGAGGGCAAAGAGATGTCAAATAAGGGCAATTGTAATGAGAGGATTCAAACATGGAATCGGCCAAAAAAATTTTATTCGCAGGTCTACCTGTGGGACTTATGTTATGAAATTAAAGGCTGAAGGTATATGTAGGCCAGATAAAGTTCACCAGAGTGTGTGAGTGGGTATTTGTGCTTATTTTTCGTGGATGTGCCTTAAGAGAAGGTGACTGATGACATACCAGTCAACACAAATATGAACAGCATCCTATCACCCTAATGTTAGATGTGAGCGTCAACTTGAGAGACAAAAAGAGTGTGCTTTTTCCGATTCCATTGGAAAAATGGATGTGGTGGATTTTTACACTAGCCGTTATCACTTAAGCCGCACACCATGCCTCTATGAATAAGATACACTGTGAGTGGGAAGGAGGGAGAGGATAATCGAGTCATGGGTTTAAGGCCTAGGGAGTAGAATATTCCTAGGCACTAAAATGGGCATAAAAATAGACATAGAGATGGGCATCATCTGCTCTAAATACTCAAATATAGCGTAATCGGGGACGGGAATTGAAGACAAGACTTGTCTCTTTGACGAGTTCGTAGGTGGTGCGGCGAATGGCAAGGCTCATTGATGATGCCGACTACGAGGCCGGCGAAACGTTTGAGAATGTATCAAGTCCACT